CGAAATCTATTAGGGATCATTCAAAAAGTACGTACGCAAAAATTTAGACAAATTTTTGCGTACGTACTTATTGAATGGCCCCTTATATTTTAATGTACATGCTCTTTTCTAGATGTCAAATCAAATGCACTAAAAGTTTTTGTACAGGTACTATCTAAAAAGTTATACATAATAGTACACTGCACATACCGTGTATTATTATAACTTATCGCACCGGTAGCTATGATGTACCGAATTGTACGAGAAATTGATTTTTATGCCAAACATTACTAACAATAATAAACAATACAATTGCCATTGATATTAAAAATGTATTTTTCATACAAAACACTATTAATAATAATAAACTAATTAAATAATAAATTAAATTTATTTCTCTTATATTTATTCCAGAATTTTATTTTATTATAATATAATTAAACATTATCTTAATCATTGTTTGAAATCTAATATAAGTAATAAAAATTAAATTTACTTGAAAATATTATTTAAAAATTATCTAAACATTCAGCATTTATTTTAGATTTATTTACCTCTATTAATATATTTGCGTTTTCATCAAGATTACCATAAAATGTTACCGGGTAATTTATTTGTTTGCATTTCTCTATATAACTTTACAAATAATTATTATTTCACATGCATAATTATATATTACAATTTATTAATTATTTATTACTAATTATCTAAACTATATATAATTTTATTAGTTTTATTATTATAGTTACAAATTATTAACCTATCATGTAACAATTATAAATATTTTATATCTATAACATTTTTAACTAGGTCTTATCATGGCATTTGCCATAATACTAGCTAGCTCATCTTTGTCCAGCGCTTACACCACTGAGACCTATGGCACCGGGACTTATAACTACTACAACAGTGGACAGACCAGACGTTGGAGTGGAACCGGAACTCTAAACGGCTATTATGGGGTAACTGGCCAACCGGGAAATAAACGTTATTACAATGGCGGTACCACTTATAGACCGGGTGGGTACACAAGCTCCCAGCGCCGTGGGCATACTAACTACCCATATGGCACTGGTAGCCACGGTTATGGAGGTCATACTGGCAACTACCGTGTGCACGGCACTGGTAGGCCCTACACAAGTGGATACTACCAAGGAACTACTCAGGGCCATTAAATAATATACAAATATGTGAATTATATAATGTTATGAAGATTTAACAAATATATAATTTTTAATATTAATATTATTTTTATTATTAACAAAATATTACTTATGTTTTGATATTTTTGATGTACTTATTGATGGATCCTGAAAAGATATTATATTTTATAATCATGAATCATGATAATAAATAAAATATGTTTTTATTTTAATTACATATTTATGTGTCAATAGCTCAATAAATTACAATTATAATTTATAGACGAACGTAAAGTATAATTGCTATTTTTCAAAAGCCAATGATTAAATAATTAATTACAATAAAATATTTAATTATATAAAATAAATCTAATTAATTGTGAAACACATGTACTCTAGTGGTAGTGAAGTATTGGTTGTATTTCATTGCAAACCAAATCCATAGCAAACGGATTC